ATAATTATAATATTTCTTTGGTGGGGTGATAAATCAAAGAGAAAAAAATACAAGGTAAAACGAAATTAACATACTAAAAAATACGACAAAATTAGAGTAACTAAAGTAAGGAAAAATAAAAATATAAACATATCTATAAAAGAAAAAAAAAATTCAAAGCATTAAAACGAAAAATTATTATTTTTAAAGGAGTTCTTGAACAAAAGTCCTTGAATGCAACAAAATAATCACATCCTCATTTTCCAAATCAAGCAACCACAATTTAATTTTTGACAAAACACATTTAAATTTCTGATTTCTCTGACATTCTCCTGCAATCTATTCTCACAATCTATAGAAAAGAAATTACGAAATTTGTAATTCGAAAAAAAAGGAATACCAGCAAACCAAGGTTAGAACGTAATTTGTACCTAGACAATCTGGAGATTAAATGACCTCCTCGAATAAAAACGAGCTTCAAAGTTTTATAACAATAAAGTTGACAAACTGGTAATATGCGTAAATATCTAAACAAAACCATTGAGCTATACCTTCTACTTCTATTACAAATTTTCCTAACTACATATTTTTGCAGCATAAGCAAAGGATTAATTTTATTCTCATATGCCCCACCCCAACAAGTGATCGCTTATTGCAATTTTGACTCAAAAACCCCATAATAAATCATTTTTAAAGCTTTAAGCGAGCAAATAAAACAACTGTTATATAATTTGCCTTGTTAGATGTATTTCGCCCTTCAAAAAGCCCATATAATTCACCTGTATTGGTAGTTGCGAAAAAGATACAAATGGGGAAAAAACGACAAGCTAGAAATAAATTTCAAGAGATATACCAAATACTTACACCATCCTCGACATTCCAAGCCCACTGACCAACCTTGGCAATTAAACATACTTCAGAATCATCGATCTTAGATCAGGCTTCCACCAAATAATGTTGAAAAAGGAGGGCATACCAAAGACGGTCTTCTCTACCATTAACGGAAAGTATTAATTACAATATTTCAGCAAATGATCGACGACCTCTTAAAAGATTAAATTGATAAGATCTGTTACGTCTACATCAATGGCGTAATAACCTTGGCAGAACAGAGCTTTAATGCTTTTTAGAGAAGAACATTAAAACTGTATTTGAAAAGCTCGAAAAACCGAATCTGTGAATACACATCGAGAAAACAAAAATTTTTAAAAGAGAAACAGAGTTCCTAGGCTATTTAGTGTCGAATGAAGGCATGAAGTCAGATGCGAAGAAAGTTGCAGCTATAAAAACATAAAAAATCCGGAAAATCTAAAAGATCTAAAATCATTTCTAGGCTTGACTTCATATTATAGGAAGTTTTTCCGGGACTTCGCCAAGATAGCGGAGCAATTAACTAATCTAACTCGAGGACTTAACGCACAAGTAAAACCCAATCAATCAAGGAAAGCAAAAGTATGTTTAAAAAACGAAGAACTACAAGCCTTTAACACTCTAAAGGAACTGCTAATGTCATCCGACGTCATTATATTTCCGAACTTCGATAAGCAATTTACCCTGGCTGCAGACGCGTCCGACAAAGCAATCGGCGCTGTACTTTCATTAGGCCAAATTGGAAGGGAAAAAAATTTGACATCCATCTCAAGATCTCTAAATAGCACAGAGGAGATCTATGCTATATATGCGAAAGAGATGCTCGCAGTTGTCTGGACACTCGATAACTTGCAAAATTACTTATACGGAGCAAATATGATGAACATGCTGACGGAGCACCAGTTGCTTACCTTTTCCTTAAAAAACCGCAACCACAATGAAAGCTTAAGAGGAAGAAGACAACGATTGAGGAGTAAAACTATGAGTTAGTCTACAAGCCTTGAAAAATGATCGTAGCCGCTGAAGATTTATCAAGGCTACCAACAGGAGTAAACTCTTTAAGCTTAAGTTCAACCGGGTTAGCATACGAGGCAGAAGGTTATAGCACACCAGATACAGCACATAGTCAAAACGACGACACTACATAGGAATACCGAAAATGAATAAGGATAACCTAAGAAAAATGCTTAAGAAATATCTTGATCCTACTATTGCGAATGGTATAAAAATTCCCGCGAAAATTACCTTACAACACTGTAAAAAATATTCAAATAAAACTTTCGCAGATATTAACCCCGCATTACACAAAAAAAAGTCGAAGACATGAGTTTAGTAAACAGGCAATTCGAGTTGATAAAAAAAGAACATAAAGAGGCACATAGAAATATTGAGAAGGACAAGACACAAATATTAGAAAAATTTTATTTCCAACGCATTAGCAATCTAATTAAGAAGTACACCAAAACTTGTATCGCTTGCAATACGAGCAAATATGATAGAAGACCAAAAAAGCCAGAGTTCCAGCAAACAACCATCCCAAAGTACCCGAAAAAGATACTCCACATCGACATCATGGAAATAACTGGGGAAAAATATATCATATGCATAGAAAATCGTGCGATATTGTGGAAATTTGCGAAATTTATTCTTATAAAAGGCCAATGAGCATATTTGAGTGATAAACCTACGAAAATACTACACTATTTTACTGGTCCAGAAATAATTGTAATGGACAACAAACGATGTTTTGTGAGCTCTTTTATAACCAATTATGTAAGAAATCTTAGAGTTGAAATATACACCACCTTTTGTATTATTTTAACAAATGTTGATATTTCAACCATCTACAAAAGTTTAAATAATAAGATGCTCAACAAGGAATACCCAGATATTTCACAAAATTAAGTGGTAAATGCAGCAGTGGTTAGCTACAACACCAAGTGAATATCGAACACTAATGGAGTCTATAACAAAAATAAATAACGAAGTGTCTAGCCGGATAAAGGGTATTCAAGAAACAAAACGAATTGCTAGAAATAAAAAACGCGAACCTTGAATAAGTTATAAAATTGGACAAATAATTTACGTGTTGGACAGCAGACAAAAGCCAAGCATAAACCAATATTCAAAAAAGATTCTGACAAAAATATACACAAATCACTTATTAAAAACATTAACGACTAATCTAGTTTTCTTTTAAAAATTATAATTATCTGTAGTTAGAATACATTTTCAAAAATTTATGAATACAAAGACGCAATAGCAACCATTAAGAGAAGACTTGGGGGAAGTGACTCCCCCCCCCCCCCCTCCAACATCCACACCATTTTTTGCTGGAAATCGATCAAAAAATCATCCCTGAAATTATTTGTCTATTTATTAACACCTATTTATTTTTTGTGATTTTGTATTGATGCAAAGTTTTTTAAATGGAAGCTGCGAAGTAAATAATTTATTTTAACACAATAACTTATAAAGTTAATTATTTCTTTATGCACGATGCTAATATTTTTAAATGTTCCATTATATTAAAATCTCCAAAACTAAATTGAAATTAAAAAAAAAATTTTAATAGATTTTCAGTTGCTAATAATTTTAAAACTTTTACACAAAACCGTTTGAAAATAACCGCCAAAAACATACGATTGGGAAAGGGCCAAAAATGTCAAAATAATATTGCATCAGCAAGGTAAACGCATCACGTCGGTATAGTATCAGCAACTTTTGCATCGACGCTGCATTGATGCACATTTTTGATTACTTTCCAATTATACCCTAACTATGAAGAGAATATAATGTATAGAATAAAAGTTTTTCATTATATTAAAAATCATAATTGATTTTTTTTGTAATTTAAGTTAACATGTGAAATCTTAGAAGCTTCAAAAACAAATTACATGTATTACCATCATTGGAATAATTAAAATTCATAGTTCTATTGAACTATGAAAAATTGAGTAATTTGAATAATAAAAAAACAGATTTAAACATTAAATTCTAAATGGTCCAAGAGCTGCAAAAAGTGAAGGTATTTTCGAAAATATATGTAGTTCAAATGTAAAACTAGATTGCAGTAAATTCAAAAGTTGAGCGCTGCAGAAATATATCTTGAAAAACTCATTAAACCGATTAAGGGAGTTTAATTTTTAGAACATTAGATTCTAACAACAATTGTAATCTTTGCAACTAGACTTCAATTTTAAAAATTCTTATCTAGAAATTGTACTGCTAACTATGCATTTTTAAAATCTGACTAATTAAGTAATCAGATATACAGTTAGATTTCAAATTTTTTTGTCAATTTTGTACAAAAAAAAATCAAATTATTTTAATATCGACAAAAATCTCCCACATTAAAACAAAATTACTCCATCAACAATTTTGTCTTTTATTCAAAATTATTATTCCTATTTAAATTACTTGCTATTTGAACACTTTTAACTACTTGTGCAAACTGAGTATGTAGCTGCAATTATAATTTTAGTTGTTCAATACTAACGGAAATTATATAATGTTAAGTTTTTTTTAAGTTCTAAAAAATAATGGGAAAGAAAGTTTAGTTAATTTTTAAGTTCTTTAGTTCATAAGTGACCACATAAGTGGATATTGTGAGAATAATTATTAATATTGAATAAAAATCTAAAAACACAAAAAAAATTAAAAAAAATTTAAAAGAAATTTCGTATATTTCTATTAACACAATATGTAAATATGTCGTCAGGATATAACGTTAAAATATTTTGATTTTTGGCATTTGATATAGGTACATATAGTTGTTATTATTATATTTATATATAATTTAAAATGCAGTAATATTTTGTAGTTTCAATCCAGTTATCAATAAATGCATAACTGTATTTGGTATAAAATGAATTAGGTGATAATTGTGCTAACATTGTAATGTGTAACACATAAGTATATTATAGTGCAATAAAAATATTCATCGTAACATCAGAATATTGATTTGATTCTGTGACACTAATATTATAAAAATACAAAATTTAGTTTACAAGTATAATAATAAAGCTTTATTGGAATTTTGATGCTAACAGATGTTGTGCCTTCAGAATTCTGTGAATCAAAACACAATTAAGCAATACTAATTAAACTCATAAATTGAATTAAACTGTAATTGTTTAACAAATTCTTACCTTTATAAATGAATAATCCCCGGATAATAAATGATTTTTTATTTTTGTTGCCTTATTTTTTAAACATGTTCTTGTACTTATCCGAAAAACATATGGTTTTGTTCCTTGTTCTATAGTATGATATATTAAAAAATAAAAACTTACTTTTCGGTGATCATTTTAATTTTTTAATTTTCAGCAGTGTCTTATGCGTAAATGTTTTAGTTATACGAGTACATGACTGGTAATTAAAATTGTTTTATTCCTTCATTTCAATTTATGATGTTGTTTTATATGTACAATTTTTTAATAAATATTACATGTGTATAATTAAAATCTTGAATTTTTTTTTTATTATTATAACGTACATATTGTATAAATAAATTTTTTTATTTTAAATTATTCGGGCGGAATTTATATTACGTATATGTTTCTTTTCTATTTTCCTGTTTTGTTTTATAGTTTAATTTTTTATTTAAGACTTTATTCACATTAATTGTAATATTAATCAATTTTCTTTATTTAAATATTCTTTGTTATCCTTTTTCTCTTAAATTATATCTTAGAAAGTTTAATTTAATTTTTTTTTGTCGTTTTATAAAATTTCATTAAGAAATGCTAAGGTAAATTAAGTGATGCATTTTTCTGAAAATAAAACAAGAAATGTATTAAAAAAATATTATTTAGCAAAATTTTAAAGTACACACATACATGCTAAGTTTCCAAAATAAAAGTAATAAATATATAACTGAATTGAATTAAATAAAGCAATTACTGTATTATGGAGCGAAAGGTTTTAATTAAAGCGGTCTAAACTGGTAGCCCCCCAAAAAATATATATATATTTGCTCGCATAAACCCTTCTCAATTCCAAAAAAATATAATTATTTTTTTTTTATTTTTTAATATCCTTCATGTAACAAAAATGGGAGTAATAAAAAATTATATCTTTTCTTAAGCATCTCATTGAAGAGAGAAATGCAAGCACAGACGATTAGTTTATTATATTGTTGCAGTACTTATAAGAAAAATTAAAAATTCCTCTAAAACTTTAAGTATAGCTATGTAATTTTCGAAAATGCTATTTTTCACAGATGTTGCAGTTTGGATATATCGAACACACTTTATAAAGATCTAAATTAAAACTTAATTATCGTTCTCGATTCCTTTTTTTTAATAAGATGTAAATTAATCAATTTTATTATACATATATGGCTCAGTAATGTTGCTAATAACAGACTTTTTGAACGTTTAAACTATTACTTATAAAGTATGTTATTTATAGAATTAAATTTTGATAAGATACTTACATACCAATTCAAAGAAATATACATATACACTTGGTTAAGTTGGAGTTTGTTTGAAAAAGGTACTAGTAAGAGCCAAATTTCGACCCTAGTAGGAAGTTCTCGTTGTTTTGTGCGAAACCAACAGTTTTTGGAAAAGTTATAAAGCTTAAATAAAAAAAACAACGGTCAAAAAAGATTCTTTTCTTACTCTTTTACCAAGATTCAGCAACAACCGAAAGAAGATTTAAATTTAGAAGTGTCTGCGAGAACTGCTGGAAGACGTTCATTTAACGCAACTCAGAGGGTGCATTGCCAAGAAGAAACCTCTTGTGTCTTTAAAAAATATAAAACGTTGCTTAGAATTTGCAAAAATGCATAAAGAAAACCCACTTTTATAATGGAAAAATATATTATGGACTGATGAAAGTAAATTTGATAGAGTCTGTAGCGACGGTAAATGCTACGTTTGTTGCCGGAAAAATGAGTCTTGCAACGAATTTTATTCTTTAGCACGGTGGTCAACATCAAAATTTCCTGTTTTAATTTTTAAAAATTGCGGTGTCTTATTTAGCTGGCCACTAGAGTGTAGTTATGTATTTATTCTTATAAAACAAAATAATTACTAAAAGTATTATAATACGTATATTAATAACTTTAATATTGTAAACCATACTATAATCTTATGTATTACTTGGGGCTCACGTAGACATGATTTTTAGCTGTGCAATTTCTACTTGATTGCAAAAGTTTTAAGCCCTCATCTATGCAACTAAACTATTGCTTCAATTCAAATCGATTGCGTTAACTAAAAACTTCAATCATTTTGTAAAAAATTACGTGCTATTTGCTTGCTTAAAATTACAAGCAGTTGCAAAATTATAAAGTATATGTCTGATTGGACCTTTAATATCTAACAAATAATGGACAGAATTTAAAATAGAATCTATTTTAAATTCTTAAATTATTTATATACAGGAAAAATCTGGTACCTTTTTTATCATCGCTGAAATTATTTGCAATCTTATGCGCAGCACCCTGTATAACAGTTTTTAATATTAATTTAAATATGAATGTATATATGTATGGATGTACTTTAATGAGAATGCGTGTACAAATCATGTATGTATATGTACATATGTGCAATATTTTTTTACATTATACATATTTTGTATTCGTATATAAATACGGTGTATGCAGTTATGTAGATAAATTTTTTGCAAAATATAAATTACTTATGTATTTTATATTTTTCTAGAACGCACTATTTATAATATGTATATATGTACACAAATCATGCCATAGAAACAATTTTGAAACATATATAGTGCATTTTTGTTTGGAATACGAACATACATATGAATTTATACGGTTTACGAATACGAGTATTTACATAATTTAATAAACGCTATAGAATGATCGTCAATACCAAAGAATGTAATAAATACAGGTCTGGATCTAAAGAGAGAGTGACACTTCATGAATTTCCACATATAAAATCATTGGTGAAATAATAAATTTCCAACAAGATCAATTTTGTTTAAATTTCTAATCTTATATCCGATTTTAATATACGAATGAAAAAAAGTATGGTCAACATGCAGAAAAGGGTTTCAGCAAAGATGAATTTTGTCATTGTGGCCGTTGATCTGGTCAAATTATAAAGGGGTTTTCAAATCTCAAAAAACAAAGCGAAAACAAGAACAAATCCACAAAAAATCTCATCACAAACAAATTTTCTATTTTACTTTTAATATTTGCTTTAATGCTATTATACAGAATAAAAAATATTAGTTTTTGCTTAACAGTTTAGTTCTTCTTAATTGTGTACAAAATATTAGCTATAATATTGGGTTGGTCACACATATGTATCTATACAGATTTGATTTTGAATCAATTAACGAAAATACGGGTTTTTCGAAACAGAAGATGCGAAACAGTATAACTTCGCTGCAGCGATATAAGGACATATGCAGGGTTTCTGCTAACTTTTAGAAGTAGAGTGATTTTCCCTAGTTTGCAGGGAAAAGTTTGATTTTAAAATGGAATTGTATGGTTTGCATATTATATACTAATCATTTTTAAAATATATTATAAAATGTTTAGTACTTTTTGAATTGATTTGAAAATTAGATTTGTTAAAAATTTTTAAAAATTGTATCACTTTTCATATGAAATTGTATCCAAATTGTCAAAATTAAAAATTTTTGTATTGATATGCAATTGTTCATCAAAGTAGGTGGGAATGCTTGAGTGGATACGGTATAAGAAACTAAATACATACATATGAACTAGAGAACAAAACAAAAATTGACATATTGTAAACATATTATAAACTCTCATACATAATTTTCAGAATCTATTATACATAGTTTAGTAGATCATATACATACATATATGCACATAATACATATATGTATACATAACTATGCAAATATTTTGAATTTGTTGAATATAATTAATTTCGATTTGTTATATGAAGACTTTCAAAAATTATTTTTCTCTTAAAATTTTTTTTTGAAAAAATGCTTATGCTCACAATATTCACATCTTAACTTGACTTATGTTGTGTGAATATATGTATATATACATATAATCATTTTACTTAATTTTGTATGTGCATAGCAGCTATAATGTATTAAATTGATATAAGTATGTAATTATGTGTGTATGGTTACAGATACTCTTCAATTATCTGTACATAAATATATGTACATTTACTTATAAATAAAATTAAATAAATAAATAATTATGCTGTTAAAGCACGCATGTTTTTTAGAAAAGAAAAAAATTTTGGGGGGGGGGGGGGGGGGGAGGGGGTATTAAACAATTTTAAATTTTATAATATTTAGTATATACCTATATCATCTTTAAATATATAAAATAGACAAACTAGTTTATTATAATATACATATCTATTGTTTTTTTTTTTCTAGGTATGTATCATTATTATTGCATTGTGCGCATAAGTAAATATATGTATAAATACAGTGAAGTACTTTAAAGTCAATCTATTTTGAATCATCCCTTTTCCAAAACAGGATGAAAAAATTCCCATATATTTTTGTTTTGTTAAATTCCCTTTTCCCCTTTCCAATTTTTACACCCGTATGAACGTTCGAAGAGTATACTAAATTTGCCTTAACGTTTGTAACGTTAAGAAACAATGGTCTGTGAAATAATAGACTCAAGTACATGTTTTTGATCAGCGTCGAATTCTGAGTCGATTTAGCTCTATCTGTCCGTATGTCTGCCGGTCCGCCCGTCCCAAAGATAACTCAAAAACTAATTGATAACTAGCTCAAAAACTAATACTAATTTACAAATGCCAGAACCCTATTTAAATTGGATATGATCAGGGTATTGGTTCGGATAGCTGCCATGCAACTTCCAAATTTATTTGGCTATATCTCAGAAACTATAAAAGCTGTGGTATTGAAATTTCTCACAAACGAATACATTAGTAGGGCCAATGTGTTTGATAAAAGTCGTTGAATTTGTTTGGCTACTTCTGGTAGTTGCCATACAACTTCAAAAGTTATTTGGCTACATCTCAGAAACTGTAAAAGCTGTGATATTGAAGTTTCACACACAGTACTGAAATTTTCCATAAATTAATATGGTAATACGGCAACTTAAAGTCATAATCTATCCCATAGTCAGCTGTGGCATATTTATCCTCACATAGAATAACAAATTTGTACGGATATCACAGAGTTGACACGGTCATCTCTATTTTTTCTCGTTTTTCATTCATATTCTCGTGTGAGAAAAAACCTCTAAATATCGCAACAATGATTACACTTATCTGGTAATTCAACTAGTTAGACTGAAATTATCTGATGATTTGATAACAAAATTTTAAAAAGTTTTTGCTACAAAAATTATTATAATCGAAATAAAAATCACCTGAATGCTGCTCCAAACTTCCACAAAAAAATAAATGCGCCCATTTTATTTTGAAAAAATTTGATGAGAATAGAGTATTCTCTATTACTTGCTGGCAAAAAAATTTATGTCAAACTCTAACAGTTGTTACATATACGACTTTTGAGATTTAAGTTTTGCATTGAGTTTTTAAAAGACTATTGCAAGTGTATTTTTGGCATAACATTTTTCTCTTTAAAAATTGTTTTGGTCCCTTTTTAGCACTTTTCCAAAAAAAAATTGAGAAAAAGTGCTTATTAGTTTTACTCTATCCATCATTTCGTCCGTCTGTGGACATGCTTACAAAACTTCTACACCCTTTAAGATGGAAAACTGAAATTTCATATAGACATAGGTCTTTATTAGAAACTTATTTTTGTGGAACAAAATTTTTAGCTATCTCCGCCCTTCTAAAAGCTATAGCCCCTCAAAGTCCTAAAAACGCCTTTTTTTAAGTAATTATTGTAGCAAAACCAGAAACATTTTTTAAATTCTGCAAACACAGAAAATTAGTGGCTAGTTTTTTTTATCGAAAAAATACCACCAAATTATACTTGCACTTAAAAAAACAAAATGACCGTTAAAATTTGCCGTTATCTAATATCCGTTATTTATTAATTTTTGATATCATTTTTCTTCTAAACCCCAATTTATCAAAATCTGAAATTGTTACAGTATTAGTCACAAATAACTAGTTTATTTCGTTAAAAGAAATTTTTTCCACCTCCTCCTCCTCTCAAGTTATGGACACCCGATATTTGTAAAATTTGAATTTTTGGAACCATATATTTCCGAAACCACAAGCTTTTTCAAATTTCTATAGACGCAGAAAGCTAACGGTAAATTCCGTGCCACTGATTCGAATTTCGTTAACTTTTTATTTGTTATTTTTAATATTAAGATTAGAAAGATGGTTTAATATATTTACATACATATTTATAGATTTAGAAAAATAGAATTGTATTTTGTCTAATCTAGCACAGTTTACTCGACCAAGTATCCCAACACAAACTGTAACTAATACTCGTAGGATATTTGAAGAATATTCAACAAAAAATTGTTTTTATTCAGTTATTATATACAGAAAATTTTTTATGTCAAGCCTTTTAATTATGTTTTTATTATCATTATTAATATTATTATTGAAATTTATAACTATTTGTTTGATAATTATTTATCCTGCAGTTACTTTGAATATTTCAAATTATAGAAGTTTTACTGTATAGGACCCGTTAATATGTACATACATATATACACATAATATATTTATTTGGATAATTTATTTGAAAGTGAGCTAAGTTCACTTCCATCATAAATGAAATATTGAAGCTTTTGCGTTTTAAAAGTATATACATACGTACAAATCTGGACACATTGTTAAAAAATCTGATTATATTTTTGTGTGAATGATATAAGTACATACATAATGTATTTTTAGAAATAAGAACATAAATACATATGTACATGTATGATTCCAGAACAATAAAGTATAGTACAGTATTATCATAGCATCCTTTTAAGAAAATATATATTTGTTTATTAAATTTATTTTAGTAATATTTTCATCAAGAACGTAGACCAAATTATCATGGTTTATTGATTTGTTATATATACATATTTACTTGTTCTTATTTTAATGTATAAATACATTAATATATTTAATGTATATATTTAATATATTCAATGATATTAAATATTATCACAAAATCATTTCATATTAACTTTTCCTAATGAAACTTTTCCATTTCTTTTATGGTGATTTGGCTTTTTTGGTTTTAATATCAGGGGAAATATTTTGATGGACACGCACCCCCGGTAATTTTTAACAAAGAATTATATATATTTGACACCTTTCTTTTCCAACTTTTTGTTGAAACTCTAATTAACATATTGAATGATGCAATAACGTGCGGTAACTCAACAGTTTATAATCAAAATCTTATATATGAGCATCATCTTGCTAAAATTCTAAATTACATTTTTGGAACACAATCACTCTTGATGTACAATATTTGAAAAGAAAGCATTACAATTTGTTTCCATTAAAACAAAATAAAGAAATTTCTTATATATTATGTATTTTTCTAATTTAGCATTGTCTGTATGTATATGCATAGGCATGTACATAATGTTGTACTAGGTACGAAAAGCTTATTAAGTGAATTTTAAAGTTTAAGAGATTAATATATTTTTCTCGCTATAATTATAGCATTATTTTGTAATGTATTTTAACAGATAATTTGACAAAGCTAGAATACAGGTAGCTGATGGTTTTGCAACAAAAAAAAAAAAAAAAGAATTATTCGAAGTGCCTATTTCTATATAAATAACTCAGTAGCTAGTATTTTTTAATTTATGTTGCAAAAAACGAGCGATATTTTTTTTATTTTAAAAATTTTATTGTCTCACAATGAAAAATAAATTAAATAATTAAACAAAATGTGTTGACAATGTATAGTGTAGCTCAAAAGCAAATTTTCTCGCGAAGGTTTGCGATACCCTACAGTACCGATATCAGAGAATAAAACTCCTAAATATGTACACGCCTTAAATTTCTATTGTTTTTACAAAGAAAAAATTCAATTTAAAGCTTTCATTTTTTATTTAAAAGCATTTGTTACAATTCATATTTCTTTAGTTTCGCACCATTTTTTCAAGTTTTTTCTCGATTATTTGAAAGTGAATAATTGACACCAACTTCAATGTCACTAATGTCACTTAAAACACACAATAGTTTTCAAAATGTAGAATGATAACATGATTTTTTTTCTTTGACTCAAAAAATTATTCTATTATCTGTGAAAATATTTATGTAGCTCCTTTTTATTTATTTTTGAATATTTTTTTTTCTACTTTCTTTTTTTTTTATTTTTCTTTGTTTTTTATTTTAATTTTGAAATAATAGAAAATTTTACACAAATTTAATACAAAATTATGAAAAAAAAATTATTTTATTTTTTAAATTTCCTTAGGTTTACTTGTAATTATAAAAGAAAGTTTTAGAATTAGTTAGAGTGTTACCAATCTGTGTAATATATTTGTTTTTTTTTTCTCTTTTGCACAGAATTTTTGAGCATCAATTTTTGAAAAATATAAAAATAATTTTTTTTATTATTTCGTTTTTTTTTTTGTTTTTAATATTTAATGATATACAGGGTGTTCCGCATAAGGTGGCAAATAATTTTAGAAATGATTCTGTGATCAATTTCCACCAAAAAATAGTATGGGTTGGGAAGGTGCAGATATACTCGTTTTCGCTTGTTTTTAAAATACATTCAACACGTTTTACTGGACAAACCATGAGAGATAGAGGAAAAAGTTATATAAGTTAACTTTTAGATCTCGTCGTACTGCATGAAAAAAAATAAAAATAAATAACATAAATTTTCAAGAAATTTCGAGTTTTGTGAAAGAAAAACAAAAATTTTAACTTTGACGAGCTGTATCTCGAAAACTCAAATTACTAATTGTCGGGCCAAAAATAAAGAACAACCAATCGGCTGTAAAACAAGTTTCTAACGATAACTCTATGTTGTATGCGGTTCTAAAGTTATAAGCATTTCTTTAAATCTAATTTCAGAAAAAGTTTTTTTTTTCAATAGGCTGTAGCTCGAAAACGAGCATATCGGCACCCCCCACCCATATAATTTTTTTTTGGTATCAAATAAGCATCACTAAAATTATTTGCCACCCTACGCGAAACACCCCGTATATCAAATTTATGTATGCATATATTTCTATGAAATATATATTCTATATATTATATACTGTATATTAAAAATATATATTTGTTTGTATGTAAAAAACTATATTTTCAAAAATTTTGTTTTCTATATGTACTCTAGTTCTAATATATAATATACATACTTAAATGTATAATATATACATACATAAATTTAAAATATTGTAGATAGTATAGCTATATGTATGCGAATATAGGTAAATTAATTTTATGTTAGTTTCACAGTGTAAAATATTGTAAATACGTCATATCATAGTTCTAAAAAATTCTTTTATTATACCTGCACATATAATACATATACACATATATATAGGGTGATTCAGTAAATAGTACAATATTATATATCATTGTTTAGGGTCTAGAACACCGAAAGTTAATTTTAAATATTTGGAAAAATATTAAGGATGAATTCATGAAACTTTGCAGTTCTGTGTCCACTAGTAGATCAGATATAATATCCGGGAAGATTAATGAGTGCTTTAACAGGCTCGAGTTATTGCCATTTAATAATGAAAGCTAATTCTAGATATTTCAAAAACAGATTTTTAAACTCAGATCAAAGTGCAGGGTATTATTCTGTCAGTTTATACCGACTGAAACGTTTTTACTTGTTTGTTACTTACATTTTGTAAAATTGAACTGATATAATTTTTTTAAAAATTATTTTGTACCCAAAAAGATTAAGGCTTCAAATGAACAGTTACTAAAAGGGCTGGTAAAGGGGTTGTTAAATTTATGTATTTCATTGAAAATCTGAAAATTTTATTTTATTACCAAAATAACGGTTCTTAAAAATGTCAACTGCTTTTCAAAGTAGTTGATAATTACAGCACTTTAAATCAATAAAAATCAAAAATAGTGACAATTTTTTGATTTTTTACATTTTATTAGGGCCCTTTAAATCTTGACACAGAAATGTACCGTAAAAATTTTTCAACGTTTGAGGAATAAAATTAAAGCTTAAGAAAGTGGTCAAAGTTTTGCAAAAAAGTTTTAAATTTTCCAAAACTTTCACACAAAATTGTCGAGATGTATCTCAGAAACCGTTTATAACTATAATGTTAGTTTTGATAACTAGTTCCAAACAAAAATTGATCCCCTTTTTGATGCCCTATAGAATAATATATACTTAATGCTCTTTAGTGATTCACCCTGTATGCTTATGCACATGCATAATAGGAATGATTTACGCTAGACTAAGTATAATTTAGTATAAATAGTTAAGTTCATTCTATACATAATATATACTTAAGAAAATTTAGCCACAATCTTTTAATTCCCATATATTTTCACCTCGACATTTCCCTCTTCGTAAAATCTATATGTATGCTTGTGTTAATTCACATCTAAATACTCAAGTAAATATGTATTCTTATATAATATAAGTATATAAGTAAATATTATATATATATATATACATATATATATACAATGTGTGCGGTTAGGTACTGTAACTTTTAGGTAATGTAAAACCTAGGTATTGTAATTTATAGTTTATTATATTACTAAAAATCGAACTGCAATAACATTTCAAAATTGCAACAATATGGTACCATATTGAAAGCAAAATTTTTTTTTCAAAATTAGCTTAATTAATTATGAATTAAATTTTGATTTTCTTTAACGAAATATTTGCATCAACAGTATGTTCATATATTACGTGTCATTTCCCTTTACCAACAAGTGAGATTTAATTTACTTATGCAAGAGGATTCGGGGGAACAAAACTTTCCAGTTTAAAATACCTACATAAATAGTGTTAAAACAGACATTATTTAAATATTTGTTGTTATGGGGGTCCATTTTATTAAAAAATATATATTGAATATCTTTTCATATAGGTTACTTACAATTACATTACTTGATTAGACAAATCGTCATAGTATATTTTAGCGCCGTTTTTATAAAACAAAGTCAGATGGTGCTTGATTCGATGTGGGAAACTTTATTTTGTTTTGGAATTATTTTTTCAAAAATGTTTTTAAATCTTTGATTTATATAAAATTAATTAAAGTAATTATAGGAAGTTTCATCTGAAATTGTTAAAATTTTTATTCCATTGAATTATTCAATTTGGAGTTGTGTTTGCACTTTCGTCCGCCCAATCCCCACTTAGTACACAGATAAAATATATTATAAATATATTATGATATAGTATATTATATATGCATATTTGTGTATGTACATATTATATGTATATAGACTAGATTATTATAATTATAGTTTAGTGCATCTATGTACATTTATTTTATCCTATTGTTTTTTTAGTTTTTTATTTAATATATTTTTATACCATCTTAATTTTATTTTCATAAAATATGAATATGTATGTATCTAAGTATATTGGGGTGGGTCAGAGAAAATTGGTGATTAAGTTACTGTTTTCTTTTAAGATTTTAATTACTACAATTTTGCAAAATATTAATTTATTTTTCAGTTCTAGTACGAAAATGAAGCTGAATGAAAGAATAACATATAGACAAATTCATTAGGCAAAAACATCCATTTTAATTTGATCCTTCAATAAAATGATCAAATTATACTTTTTTAAACATGCAAGCTGCAGAAACAATTTATTACTAAATCAAAAACGCACTTTCAATTCCGTCCTTGGTTAAGGAGTTGCGGTAACAAACAGATATCAAGTAACCAATCTATCTTATGAGTTGCTGAAAGTTATATCTTAGTACAATATTAGTGTGATTTTAAAGTCAATTAACCTTTTTGAACATTGGTATATATAAATATATAAAATTGCATTTTAGAAATTATCATTAAAAGAAAAAATAAAATAAAACCAAAAGTACTGCTACAGTTTTACTTTTTTGGGATTTTTTTTTAAAATAATAATGCCGTATAAAGTATTTAGTTGGTTATAGATAACCTGAAGTATGCAACACGTTTTATAGGATGGAACTCCAAGGAACGACTGCCGAAAATTTATTAAAGAACTTTAACACTGTTCAGGAACATTACTAAAAAATATGAGGCTTTAAATCCCAAAAAAGCTTTATTGAACACTGAAGATGATCTTTTTACTGTCTCATAAATTTTACAAAACTTGTTTGATGGTGACATATTTAACTATACTTGTATTTCTGAAATACGAAAGGTTTTGAAAAAATGTTAGAGAAGAAGAGAGCAGTAAAATATATTTTACGTCCCGTGAATTGAAGCAATATCATGCCAGATCATGCCACATTACATCATAAACAACAGTATTTAATGGTCCAATTCCCCAACTTTGCACATTCGTAATGGCATGTTAGGATAACGTGAGAATATAAACAACTACATTTGGAGACTTTCTACGTTTAGCCACTATCAAATTACATTTATTTAAAGAGTATCACCGGTAAACAAACATGCAACACAGGGCTCTAATTATACTAGTTAACAGGAAAAAAAAATTATTTTTACTGAATTTGTGTTCTATACTAACAACTTCTACTTTACAAAGCATTTTATTTCGGTCACTGCTTTTCAATATTCGAGAATTGCGGAATTGAATTTATTATCAACTTCATAAAATAAGAGAAGTTATGTGATGGCCACACATTTCACAAGTCGAATTTTCGACGAAAAGAACTTCTCCAGGCAACCGTAAGTAAGCTATCTTTAGATGAATGCCTACCTGTTTGTTTGGTCTAAGTGTTTTTCTTGTCTATCTATCTGTGTATCAGTCTGTCTGTGCACTTTAGTATCTCAATTTCGACTGAGCCGATCAAGAAATTTTATATCATCATTAATTTTGCGATCAGGATATTTGGAAACCGAACTTTCACTTGGCGCCGATTTTACATTTTTTGCCATAATTAATTAACAGAATTTCTTGAAATTTGAATTTGAATTTTGATTTTCAACGAAATCAACTGGGAAATTGGGTAACCGTAAATAAACGTCAAATTTACATTTCGTTAAGTTAGCTAACTTGAAAGCTGTTTTCTATTTTTCATAGAATTTGAAATCAGTGTTTAAAGAACACTTGCACAATCTTATGCAACACTTTAATAGTGCCATAATTTTTTTCTTTTGTTTTGCCAATAATTATTGCTTTGTTTTTTTGTATGCACTCTAATTGTATATTATATATTATGTAGATTTTATATTTTGTATTGGGAATTGGTAATGTATCCGTATGGTGGTATATAAGAGCCTATAATTGCATATATTTTCTAAAATTCTTTTAAGACAAAAAATAACCAAATTAAACAAGAACAGCAACAAAGCAATTTTGTACATATTTTATTGTGTTCTTGTTATTTTGTTTTTTTTTTTATTTTGTTATTTTTTAAACATTAGAAAATAATACAAATACAGGCGAATCTTTTTAACATAAATAATTGTTTATGAAATATTGCCTTTGTATGTACATACATATGTTTGCAATTAGGAAAAAAACTATTAGTGTTTGTTTTGGAGTTTACCATAAAAAGAAAAACGATTGAAATTGTTTGAGTTTTGAGAAAAATTTCAGCTTAAACAGAAGTGTTTTCGTATTCAATATTTTCGTGTTATATGTCATAACTCATCATTCGTTCTAGGCATTGTTTACAAAATTTTACGATTTAGATCAAAATTTGAAACGAATTTGATTTGTAAACACACAATCCAATCAAATTCAATCGTCTGAAAAAAATAGAATCTTGCATTACATACTTTCATTTTAATTTTTTGACAGTTGAAACAATTAAAACTGGGGAGTACTAAAACTTTCGATGTGTTGTAGATGTGATCAGCTGATTTTTATTTTATTTTTTTAATTACCTAATTACAGAATATTTGTGCTGTTAGCAATAAAAGACTTAAGTTTTTGAAAGACAGAAAATTTAATCAAATAAAATTTAATTTGCAAACATTAATGCGATTAGTTGTCCAATTTTGCTGGATTTGTAAACGCTGCCTTAGGAAGAATTTCAATTTACTACGAGGTTTCCGGGATAAGAAGAGTTCAAATGAAAATGCAAAGAAAATTTTGTTTACAATGTGCATAAAGCAAAATCATTCTTGTTAAAGAGAATCGATTCATGTTACGACGAGTTCGTTTTATAATTTTTTTACTGTGTTTTTGGTTTTGTTTTCAGCTATCTGTATAGGTAAATCTAGTATATAAATTAAATTTTCAGTACATAAATAAATTTAAATATAATAAGTATTTATACTTATGTATTTATGTGTATTACATTATATACATACATTTTTGTATATTGGCTTATTTTAGAGTATATACATAGATAAAAAGTTTTTCTTTTGAATTTTTTGATTTTTAGTTTTTTGAAAAATATTTTTTTTTGTTTTTCTCATTTTTCGCAGGTACATAGATTTATTTCACATATTGTATGTACATATGTATATTTACATTTATATTAAAATATTTTTTTTTTTTGAGAAAATTTGATATTTTCAATTAAATTTTAATAATTTAAAAATTATATTAAGAAAAAAAAGAAATTTTTGAAAATAATTATTTTTTATGAAAAGATTAATGTCTAAAGTGCACTTTCGGATTTTTGGAAATATGCAGTACAATATGTATATACATACATATGTACATACATATGAAAAGTTTTTTTAATTTTATTATATATATTTTTAATAATTATTAAATTTTATTCAATGAATATTTTAAAATGTAATTTTTTTTCATTCTACATACATTATGTTTATATTTAACTCAACTTCATTCTTAATTTAATTTAATATTGGTTTTAAGATTACAAAATTTAATTTTTAATTTACTGCATGTTCTTATTTTTAGGTTCCTATACGGATCCTATATTATTTCCTTCATCATCCTCTCTTCTCTTTCTTATTAGTATTATTTTGTTTTATAATTATTATTATTTTTTATTATTATTAAATTTTTATTATTGTTAAATTAATCAAACATATTTTTTTTTCTTTAATAAGGAGGGAAAAAAATTAGGTACAATTTATTTTTTTTTTTTTTTTGTAATTTACTTACATATAAGTATGTAAGTATATCTTTATAATATTGTTTTTCGCACATTTGCGAGAATAACGACATAAGTCAAAAATTGAAATTTATGTACTATAGGAACTGGCTCTCAATATGTAATGTAATCAAAATTATTCTTTGATAAAATTGATAAAATGAAAAGATATTGTTTGTTGTCTTATATAAGATAGCACTATGTATCAATATTTAATATAGCACCCTTCTCAGCATCCGCTCCCCCGACCATCCTATTTTTCCCATAATAATCTGTGATTAAATTTCAGGTCAAGTTTATACACAAGATATTTTAATTATGTTGCAAGACAAAAAATTAGGTATTTCAAGTTGTGTCGTTTTTCTTTTCAATGTGCAATTTTTTTTAAGTAATATTTTTTTTTACTTATAATATAAAGACACAATCTACAAATTATATATACATAAATATTAAAAATAAAGAAAAAAAATTTTGTTTTGCATTTTTTTTCCATATTGAAAAAAAAAAAACAATAAAAATAACATTCTTTTTATACCTACATAATTATACGGCGTATATATGTATGTATATATAATAAAAAAAAATTAAAGTTTTAAGTGCGCCTTAACAGAATATTACATATATGTATATATATAAACATGTATAAACTTTGTTTTTTTTTTCTCTTGTTTAATAAATAATTATAACAAAAAAAAACACACTGTGAAGAAAAGCACCTTCTTGCACGCGTTTTTTACAATACACTAGTGTAGAGCACACTCTCTTATCCTACATTAAAAAAAAGTAAAGCCAAAAAAAACGGTATATAAAGAAAAATAATAATAAAAACATAAATAGACACGACAAAAAAAAAACAAAAACAAATCATTAAATAAAAAAAAACAGTGAAATCTGGGTAAATTGAATTCAGTTAAAAAATTAGATAAGAAATTTCAAATTTAATTTTTAGCACTTTTCTAAAAAAAAGTTTGAAAAAGTGTTTTTTTAAAAATTTTATCCGTTATTCCGTCCGTCTGCCTGTGTGCCTGTTTACAACTTCTACACCCTTGCAGATAGAATGCTGAAATTTCATACGTACTTAGATCTTTACTTGAAACTTATTTTCGTAGAAGAAAATTTTTACCTATCTCCCCCCCATAAACAATTTTCAAATTTTGTTAACGTATTGTGGGGACTTCTATCGCGGCATAGCATAATGAAATATTAAAAAACGAAATGACTGCTTAAATTAACCGCTGTTAAAATAATTTCGCCCATTTTTTCGGAATTTTTGATATTGTTTTTCTTCTAAACCCTACTAATATTAGTATGAAATTTAAGAAGTTTTAGATATTGATAAATAGTTTATTTCATTAGAAGAAATGTTTTTTCCACCTCCAACCCTTCTCAAGTTACCGCCTATTGAAATTTGGAAAACTGGAATTTTTGGCATCTTATATTCATGCAACAATTAATGCAAAAAATATAATTATTTTTCTTAACTCACGTAATTAACCCTTAAGTTCGAGCATTATACTAAGGGTTTTTTCATTTTTTTTTTTGTTTTATTTCAAAGATTGCTCATAATGCTCATCTAGACAATTTGTGAAATATATTCATATATGAATGAAAGTAATTTTAAGAATGTAGTAAGCACACAGATTCTTTTTAGAAGCAGTATTTCACTTGCTGAACGGAAAAAAGCTATATTACAATCCATTTATTTGACCCAATTTTATTAAATTAATACCTTAATGCCAAAACGTAAAAAAGTAATCTTTTTATTTTAAAAGAACTTTTTATATAATTTAAATATGAAATTTATTTTACAGATTAATTTATGTTTAATAACAATCACTAACATTACTGTAATCCTCCATTACTATAATTGATAATAATATTTTAAAAAGAGACACAATTAGACAGTCCGACTATTCAGACATACACTGTACACTGTTTTCCCAATTTTTATTTTTCTGTCTATCTGTTTCCCTTATACATCACAAATATTTTATGTAATTCTAATTCTCACATTTTCTCTTTCACTCTTTCTCTTTAAAAACCTCTTTCTCTCTTCTTTTTTCTTAGTTTTTCTTCTAAAGCTTTTTTCTATCTCTTTTTAGTTACTAATATTACTATTATACGTTTTTATAATATTATGTGTACACACATAATAAGTATCTACTAGATAATACCTACACACATACATAATATAAAAATAATGATACCATCTTGTTCGGTTTTTTTAAATGATACATAATTTTATAAGAATCGGTATTATGAAGTAATTCTATATTTACTACTTAATTTAGGAATTGCCCCTTTTAATTCAAGTCTCTAAAAAATTTTATAGTGGAATTGGAGCAACATTCTATTAATGCAGAAATTAGAACACTTCTAAATTGAATCTTCAATTCAAAGAATCGTGATAATATTTTGTGTAGTAAATTGCACAATTCACCTAATGCAGACCCTTTGTAAAAACATTACATGAGGATTAAATGATTTCTGTCATCATTTTATAAACTCCACCGTGAATTTGATTTTGCAATAGCTACTCGTAACACTTTTAAAAGCGTCATTTATGTGAAAATTGCTGTATAAATTTAGGCGTTTTTACATTTTAAAAATGTTACATTCAAAAATTAGCGACGAAAATTATTTTTCAGAATCAAATGAAATTACTAATAGTGACTTAAGGTTATTTAATAACTTGTATTTAGAACAGATAATTTAAGTTTTTTATTTATAGTGAAAATTTTTGGATTTCACAAACAATACAACTTTTAATTACAATATGAAATGAAATTTTATTTTAAAAATAACAAATGACTTTTTGAAAAAGTGACTAATTTCAAGAGTTGAATGATTAGAGTCATGTAATGACAGAGTTAATCTTGCAAACGATAGTTATTTGCAAAAGGCATTTAATAGTCATCCGGCAAAAATCGGACATAAATTCATAAAATAATTAAGCTGAACTGTATAAATATATTATTCATGGTTTTTTCATTGCAAGATTTGTAAAATATTCTAAATTTTAAAAATAACAAAGAAAGCATAGAAAAATCTTTCAGAGACTGAATTGAAAACGACCCAAATTTTAATATCCTTTCGGCCTACACATTAATCACATTTTATTATACCAAATGAATAATGATATTTTGTTTTAAATTTCAAAATATTTTGTTACGTATCTTTTTTCTAAACAAGTCTTTTCTTTTTGTCTAAAGAAACACCAGATCCGGCTTAAAATGTGTAAGAAATTAAAATTTGCAGTTTTTGTGCATTTTCCATGCTAAAATATTTTTGTTTTTTAAGAGGTAAAATTTTACTATAAATGCCAGAATATCCCGATTTTATTTCAATTTAATCTGCTCACTCTAAAATAATATAAGTTACATAGTATGTATATGCGTACATAATAATATAAGAGCATAAAGTGTATATTTTTCTGATATATATCATTCAGTGTTACATTGGCTAATAAGAAAAAAAAAAAGCAAAAGAAGAGAGTTCAGATATGCAAACACCGAAGACTTCTGGTTACTTATGAAAGCATGTAAATTTAAAAAAAAGTATTAGTTCTTAAATGTGAAAACCCATATATTATTTTGAAATGTTTTTTACTTTGTATTTGTTTTGAAATGCTAACATTTATATATATACTCGTAAATATATACACGTAAAGATGTATTAAAGATATCTATTTAAGTAAGAGAAACGAAAAATAAATTTATTAAGAATTGCAACCTCAACAATTAAATGACGAGGTCTTGATTTCTTGTTACATTAAGTCAATCATGAAGTGTTATGTCCATTCTGTTTACAAATAACAAGTAACATTTACTTAATATTCCTTTATATATATTATGCAAGTATTTATATCTTGACATTACAAAAATATCAAGGCCTGGCTGGACCTTGACATTCCAAAAATTCAAAGCCTGGACCCTTTTTTTGTGAATGTATATGTTAAAATCGCATATGTATTTTTGGTAAAATGACATTTCTGAAGTATCATTTTTTACCGACCGCATTGCATACGATAAGGGGGTTCATGTGATAGCAACAAATTTTGCATATTGAGTTTTCGGTGGGAACACACTCTTCCATAGTAAGGAAGCGTAAGTACACTATTTTTGAAGAGATGTCGGTCTGACGGATTTTTAGATTTTGACCCATATAAACAAAAATAATCAACCAACTTCCTTTAAATTTAACATTTAAATTTGGAGTGTTAAAGCAATGAACATATAAATTTTTGGAACGTTTAGGACTCGAAAACCGAACTAGAGGCCAAATGAACATATCTATCGAACTAATTTATGGAATTTCAGCAACTTTATATTTGAACTTTGGTCGTTGCCA